AAAATGCATAAGAGAAGGAATTGTGTCAGAATTTACTTTGCAGCATAATTATTGTACAATAAAATTGATACTACTAGGACTGTAACAGCCATCACTATACATATTTATGTCCCATTCAAAACAGACCAGTTTCTATTAATAAAACATTCTCTCACTCCACATAGTGCAGGTAACTAACAACACAATCCTAAACAGAGCTATATTCTTTTAAGTCCACTGCAGTCAATGAATTTAGCAGTGGAACTCTCTTTAGGACAGCACTATAACTCTCATTTCACTGCCCTCCATCATTTACTGTACAGCAACAAATCCTCATGGAATAAGCCTAACACTTAAGCATATTCTTAGGCTTGAGGGCTTCACTAAGAATGCTTTAGCTCTTTACCGAATTGAGGTCCTAAAAGGGTAAATCCTTGTTCCCGCCTATACCTTCATTTATACATGCAATGAAGACGTAATCCATGGCAATTCTTCTGTGTGAAGGCTTCAAGGCATATGCACAATAGCTGTAATCCTTTTCAAAATCCCCCCCATTCATCAAAAAGTCTTTGATATCTGTTTTATGAAATTAGTGCATAAATTGACGTGAGAAAGCAAAATCACAGTTCGGTTGCAATCTTTTGCCCTTTTTGTGGTATTAATGTACTAAGGTACTTCTACAGACAACATCCTTCCTAACCTTGCTTTCCATTACGAGTTCATCTTTTTAAAATATCAAAAACATCAAAGAGATTGGGAGGTTTTATCCATGTCTTTTTCATTTCCTTCTCCCTTTAAAAATATTTCAAATTAGAAGAGATATTGTATGCATAGTGTATAGCAAGATAACTTTTATTTTCTTTTTATCGCCTTTTGTCCACCCGTAAATATTCAGTAATATTTTTTTTAAAAAAAAATCAAAATAAAAGTATTGCAAGTTCAATTCCAGATTGGACTGTACTAACTTGCCTTCAGAAGATAGTATTTTAGATCTATCTATCTGTCTGTCTGTCTCTATATCTATATATGTGTGTGTGTGTGTAGGTCTGTTATACATAATATATCATTCCTTTGGTTTAGGAGAAACATTAGTATAGTGAACATGCAGGGGAGGGGAATCTGCAACCTAAAGCTATTTAATTGTTTAGATTGATTAAAAACCCATTTTGATTAACTATAAAGGTATTTCATATTGATTGGGAAATATTTTTGAAAATATAATATATGTCCCTTATAAAGGACATTTTCCACTTTACCCCCCACGCTGTAATACCTCTCCTAAGATGACTTCTTCATAGCTATTGTTTTATTAATACGCAAATTGATGCAGATTAAATTAATTAATTAAAACTAATATACTGCAATTATATTATTTGGTGATAGCTCATACATAAATATCTTACCACCATCCCTGCCTTGTTTACGTCTAATCATTTATGACTAGTAAAGTCCACTCAAATTGACCTAAACTGTATCAAGGTGGGAGGTGAAAACATTTAGCCATCCCTGCTATCTACCCTAGGATGCCAGTGGCACCTTACATCATGCATCTGTCTCCCTCTCGTGCCAAAACATGAGACACAGATAATTCCTAGGTTGGTGCAGTCCACACATAGAATGTATGTGCTCTGATTGTGCAAAGCTCCTCTCCCATTGTACTAGCTATTCTGGATTTGCTTCTGTGCTAAAGCAAGTAATAGACAGTGTGAGGCACCCACCTGGACATGCCTCTAGCTTTTACTCCCCCCGACCAACGGACATGAAAGCATTTTTTAAAAAAAGAATAGGCTTCATCCTAAATATATTAGGCCCGTCTTGGATTTTTAAAAATGAGGTTACGGTTGTTACTTGGCCATTTCTATACCTTACCTGAAGAAGTGAGCAGTAACTCATGGAAGCTCATACCCTACCACAAATTTTGTTTGTCTTTAAGATACTACTGGACTCGTACTCTTTTCTACTGCTACAGACAGACTAACACGGCTACCCATCTTGATCTTTACCTGTCACTGTTAAGCAACAGATATATATGCACTCACACACACACAAACTGATCCCCTGCATTCTGGCCTTTGCTTCTGTCCCCCACATCCTGCTCACTAACTGGTCTCAAAACTTGTCCTATTCCAACTGTCATCACTACAGAGACTAAAGAGAAAAGAAAAGAAAAATTATCTTCAGAGCCAGGAGATATAATGTCATTTCAGGTGTTCTACTGAACAGTCAACAAGAATTTGTTAATAAAGGCAGTTTTGGAACATACTTAAGGGGACTAACAGAAGATGTTACAAGTACAGCAAGGCGCAAATATTTCCATTTTTCATACTAAGAGAACAAGCACATTATCTTTATGAGTTGCAGGAGCATTATATAACCCATGAATCTGGGTCTCCCAGATGGTACCATTAAAACTGATGCTATATCACAAGGCTTGGTGCAATTGTCAGTTTCTACAGCAAACTCTTTCTGCCAGTACATCAAATCCTAAAGCAAGCATGATACAGAATAAAATTTTAATATGCCTTTATAAACAGGCAACACGGTCATCATACCAAGTCTTTCAACACAGCAGAAATCTGCTTATCTGTTCAGGATTTGTCCTTTTCTGAATGTACAATCTGCCTCCTGTTAGTCAAGTCAAAGCTTTTTTTCTCAGCTTGTGGTGATTGTAGGGTTATGGTCTATAGTACATAATAATGTGAACTATAAAGGTATTTCATATTGATTGGGAAATATTTTTGAAAATATAATATATGTCCCTATAAAGGACATTTTCCACTTTACCCCCCACGCTGTAATACCTCTCCTAAGATGACTTCTTCATAGCTATTGTTTTATTAAAACGCAAATTGATGCAGATTAAATTAATTAATTAAAACTAATATACTGCAATTATATTATTTGGTGATAGCTCATACATAAATATCTTACCACCATCCCTGCCTTGTTTACGTCTAATCATTTATGACTAGTAAAGTCCACTCAAATTGACCTAAACTGTATCAAGGTGGGAGGTGAAAACATTTAGCCATCCCTGCTATCTACTCTAGGATGCCAGTGGCACCTTACATTATGCATCTGTCTCCCTCTCATGCCAAAACATGAGACACAGATAATTCCTGGTTGGTGCAGTCCTCACATAGAATGTATGTGCTCTGATTGTGCAAAGCTCCTCTCCCATTGTACTAGCTATTCTGGATTTGCTTCTGTGCTAAAGCAAGTAATAGACAGTGTGAGGCACCCACCTGGACATGCCTCTAGCTTTTACTCCCCCCGACCAACGGACATGAAAGCATTTTTTAAAAAAAGAATAGGCTTCATCCTAAATATATTAGGCCCGTCTTGGATTTTTAAAAATGAGGTTACGGTTGTTACTTGGCCATTTCTATACCTTACCTGAAGAAGTGAGCAGTAACTCATGGAAGCTCATACCCTACCACAAATTTTGTTTGTCTTTAAGATACTACTGGACTCGTACTCTTTTCTACTGCTACAGACAGACTAACACGGCTACCCATCTTGATCTTTACCTGTCACTGTTAAGCAACAGATATATATGCACTCACACACACACAAACTGATCCCCTGCATTCTGGCCTTTGCTTCTGTCCCCCACATCCTGCTCACTAACTGGTCTCAAAACTTGTCCTATTCCAACTGTCATCACTACAGAGACTAAAAAGAAAAGAAAAGAAAAATTATCTTCAGAGCCAGGAGATATAATGTCATTTCAGGTGTTCTACTGAACAGTCAACAAGAATTTGTTAATAAAGGCAGTTTTGGAACATAGTTAAGGGGACTAACAGAAGATGTTACAAGTACAGCAAGGCCCAAATATTTCCATTTTTCATACTAAGAGAACAAGCACATTATCTTTATGAGTTGCAGGAGCATTATATAACCCATGAATCTGGGTCTCCCAGATGGTACCATTAAAACTGATGCTATATCACAAGGCTTGGTGCAATTGTCAGTTTCTACAGCAAACTCTTTCTGCCAGTACATCAAATCCTAAAGCAAGCATGATACAGAATAAAATTTTAATATGCCTTTATAAACAGGCAACACGGTCATCATACCAAGTCTTTCAACACAGCAGAAATCTGCTTATCTGTTCAGGATTTGTCCTTTTCTGAATGTACAATCTGCCTCCTGTTAGTCAAGTCAAAGCTTTTTTTCTCAGCTTGTGGTGATTGTAGGGTTATGGTCTATAGTACATAATAATGTGATATAGAACTGTGCCCCAACTCCCTCAACCTGACAGATCAAGCCACTATATATAATTAGCAGCAGTAGGAAAATCAACCTAATTGCACCTTAACTTCTGACATATCAAAATAGGTATACAATATAATATTTTTATTGCAACTAGGAGAGAGAGTAGATTTCTACTGTATTACATGAGCATGACCATATGCAGTATGTAGACAATATCTACACAGCTCTCAGCATTCTTAGGTGTAATTTTTTAATGTATAAAGAGTTTGCACCTCATACCATCATATCCTTTGGGGGAAATATCTCTGGACTGCACCTTGGGAGCTATGGCTCTCTTGCCATATGCATGGTTGTCATAACTGTTATATTCAAACGTAGTCTTAGAGTATTTCTCTAGTTCCTTGGCCAAGTTGGAGCGGGGCGTTGTTGTGGGGACATTGTTTCTGTAGCCATATTGAGGAATCTCCAACTGCTTAACAAAACACATGGGCCTAGAAATTAAGAACATGTACAATGTGTTAGACACATAATATGAAATGTATAGCCCTGGTAATAACACTTCTATTAACCAGTTTACAGCACTCAAGACGTAACAATGCAATATACTTTTGTGTTTCTGCTTACACCTTCCTTCAACAAAAGCCCAGAACAAATTAATCATAATTACCACCATATGTGGCTAACAGCAATCAATAAAGGGAAATATCACATTAAAAAAACAAAATAAAAACTATGTTTTCCTGTTAATTAGGAAAGATGGGAATGAACATAATAGCTGGAATTCTCATACAGCCAGGACTCTCTCTCTTTGCCATTACATGTGATTCTGAAGGAGTCACAATTTTTTCTTCTTGCCTCAGAAAAAATACTAAATTGGGACAGGCAAGGTATGGTCAGTAGGTTAAATTAGCTCATAGTACTTTGACAGGTATTCTGTCTAGCATCTTCTCAACTCCCTTCGACTGAATGTTGTTGTAGGACCTATATTCTATACCTGGATTTAAGAAATGCATTATACATGCACCATCACCTTTTCAGTTCTTTGGGAGGGGGACATAAAGAACTGGCAGACATCATATTTCACATCTCTGCTTCTTCTCCAGTTAACATAGAACAATCAAGAAAGGTGTCAATGTGGTGTAGAGATGTAGTGTTGGGAATGAAGTGCAAGACACCTGAAGTTGAATCCTGGTTTGGGTCACAAAAGTAACAGAATGACCTTAGGCCACAGGGGCCTACCTTTTTACGTACTTGCCTATTTTATGACTGGGTGCTGGGTCTTCACCATTCTTAGAGAGTCTGATAGGAATAGCACATATAATATTTGAACATGCCTTGAAAATCAAGACATTTTTTTTTGCTTCTTCCCACAATCATAGTGGGGTATCCAGAAGCATGAAGACAGAGAATATATACAAATCTAAAGATCCCCAAAACTGGAATATTGAAGCCACGTTGTACAAAGTTATTGTGGACAATAAATGTGTTAAGGCAAAATCTTTAAATAATCTCTTGTGGTAACCCTGACACACTGATTTGTAACTATTTATTAAAAGATATCTGATAATGTATATTTATTTTGTGCTTCTCAGTGTAGCACTTGAGAAACTCTATATACATACATTCGTTTATCCTTCCAGAAAAATATTTTCCTCTGAATTTAGATAAGAGAGGTATAAATCACCTACAAAAATCCTATTACTTTTACACTTTGATTTTCTTTAAGATGATGGGGTAGAAAATTACCTTTTAGAAAACACATTTGGGCCAGAACCCGATGGGGTTCTGCAAACATGTACCACTGTGGACACAAATCAATAAAACAAATCCAAATTTTCTGGTCTGTAACTACAGAAGTAAAACTCACAAACTCTGCTGTCAGGACAAATTTCAATCTTATGTCAGATCACATACTCTATAAATTTGATTCCCCCTCTTTTCAAAAGCCATTTTAAATGCAGGCGTACCCCACTCAGAAGGAAAAAGGGAGTATGTCTTCAGGCACCACAAACTCTCTACAGGGAATGTGAAGTAACCTACCACCAGACTGCCACTGTTGCTGTAGTTCCTGATGCCATAGGCACTATCATTTTGCAAGCACTGAAAAAAGGAGGCAGAAACACCTAGTGGTTGTCAGGACACAGCTCCCAATAACCTATAGACCAAGGGGCCCAGCACAAAAACAAGCATCAGCAGGCAGTGCTCTGTTTGAATACAGGTAGGAAGAACTAGACTTTTGCTTAAGAAACTTAAAACCAAACATTGGAGGGCAAGCTTTAGAATATTCATCTTAAACAGTTCCACAAGATAAAGGCAGTTGAGAAGTCATGTCTGAGGTGACAATGTAATTCAGATCACCTATCAAGATCTGAAAGGCACGATAGTCCCAGAGGCAAGGCAAAACTGCCAAAACGTCTATTTGAGGAGTCTGTCAAAGACTCAGGTGCTGCTTTTGACAAGAAGTCTCCTCTGTATGGCATTTGACTTCTCACTGATGAAAACCCGGTTACAGTGCAGTGGTAAGACCACTGCTGTTTTGTTTGGTTTTCTCTTGGAAGCAAAAATTAAGGAGTTCTCTCTGTGTGTTTATGCATTTATTTTGACCAAGAAGTGTGTTTTTAAATAACTGTTTCCAAGCATGATCTCCCTTGGAAGAAATCTGTAGAACGCAAAACCCCGAATCTATCAAGCCACCCTGTATTCCCGCACAATGAACAAAAACTATAATACCCAAATGTAAGGACACTTACTTTGGGGAAATAACTCTATAAAGGACACAGCATAGAGAAAGCACACCAAAACAACTGTTACTAAATGGCATGGATCCACTGGAAATTTCCACAGTCAAATGGGATTCCTGTTCACAAAGCACGACTTTCTTGTCTTCCCCCTCCTACTGCAGCCCCTAATGCCCCCAGAAATACTGCTCCTGGAAAAGCATTGGGGGGAGCTGGAAGGAACCAGCAAAACCCACCCCTCCCTTCTGACTATGGACATCCTCTGTGCCAATATCTGTACATTATCCTCACCCATATTTCCCTCAACTTTCCACAGTGTAGAAATGTCATAGAAAATATTAGTCAAACTTTGCTGTGTTTGTCTAACTAGTCACATTTACCATTAATAGTGTTTTGTCACATTTTTCATTTCTGGTCTTCCCAAGACTTGCTAACATTAAAATATACCTAGCTACTGTGAATATATGGATAACACCATTCAAATGTCTTTAACACTGAAATTGCTTTTCATATTAATTTATTACAATATTTATCTCCCACTTCTCTCCCTGTCCACAGGGGCTCAAAGCAGCTTAGAACATCTGAGATTTGGCTTCAAGCAACATATTTAGACAATTTGTACCATCACTGTGTCTGGTAGATCTCTGTGGAGCTGAACTTTAAAAAATGGTTCAAATAGGAAAATCTGCATGGCCCTCCATGCTTTCAGTAAGTCTTCAAAAACTGAAGTTAAGAAGACCACGCAGAGTATTGATGGATGAAGTATCAGCTCCTTCAGATGACAAATCCAATGCCATGGAGTCCTCTAAAAGCTGTCATTACAGATGTTACTATGGGGAGGGTAAAAAAATTACAACTCTAGAACTCCCATTTAAGCCATCCAGTTAAGAACTAATAATCATTGGTATCCTGAAAGAAAGCCTGGTAAAAACAGAATTTCTGATGTTATATTGTAACAAAACTCCCTTTGAATTTTTTTCTAGACAGCTGAGGATCTCTCTAATACATACATATATCCTTAGAAAATACTGAAGCACAGGAACTAGTACTTCTACATTAAGAGAGAATAAGAAGTCACCCATGCCTCAGCATATTTTATTTTATATCACAAATCACAAATTCATATTGGGGAACTAGTTTTTGAAAATAGGGCTTCTGGTTTTTCATTTAAACTGATATTTACTAGTAAACGCCTGCTGGAAAAAACAAGACTTACCGGTAAATATTAGTTTATTTCCCAAAGATATCAACTTTTTTTCACACTGTTCTTAGATTCAGAACTCCAGCAGGCAGCTTTACACCAAACAATGCCTAAGACAAAAATGAGCTTTTCAGCTTTATTGATATTTGCCAAAAAACATTACCCGCCCACCCCCAGGGTATACCGGTAGGTAGATAAATGCTGAAAACAAGATCCAGAAGCCCTAAACCTAACACTTCTTCAAGGGTGATACCACTTTTAGTGCTCAGGCTAACTTATTATGCAATTAATCTGGTATATTATTAAGCATTGGAGCAACTATTAATACCTCAAGACACGATCTGATGCCTGGTTTGATTTTGATGCATCACAGCTCTGATGCTTCTCTTGAGCTTTAGCCAGTTTCTCTGCTGCAGCAATAGGACATCCCGAGAGGCTGCAATTACAGAAAGAAAACGTAATTGTCGTGTCCTCAATAGCTTCAGATTAGAGGCCTTCTTAGCAAGCACATGGAAGAAGTTTGTTGGGGGGGAAATATTCTTTTGATGCCCTACATTATTCTTCTCTATAAAGATGCACAGAAGACATCGTTAAGTTAAACTTTGTGTCTGACTGTACGCTAGTTCTATAAGATTTCTGACCCACCAAGCAAAACACAGTTCACCAGCTATATACTGTGGTCTCTTAGGTGCTTAAAAATCCTCTTGATTTTGTTGACCCAGGCAGGTGGCAAAACCAAGAGATTTACCACTGAAGCCTCCATAAGTAGTAGATTAAGAATGCATTGTTGGTAGGTCACCACAAATTGTGTGTCTTTCCTTTACTATAGTTTCTTATGCATGTTCATGAGAATTGCGAAACAAAATGTAAAACTCAAAATCCATTAAGTGGTTCTCATAGAAGAATTTTACAGCTTTGGAAAACCCTATCGCTAAAACTGCTGCACTAGTTATTCAGTAGAAACACTGTACTGGCCAGCTACAATCCTAAAACTGATAATCTGCTGTACTCAGTAGGGTAGTGCTGAATAAACATGGTTAGGACAGAGCAACTTGAGTTGAAGCTCAGAAGCTTATATGTAAAAGACATCATTTGCGGCTGAGTTGGATTGAAACTGCCAACGAAAGTACCCAATAGGATTCTTTAAATATTGAACTGAGCAGATAATGGCAATGTCTGCTTCTTCTGGAAAAGGTTCATGGAAAAACAGGTAGCACACTGGAAACAGCACATATGAATACTGTGCCACATTAAGGGAAACATTCTTCTGGTCATAGTTTATGCCATGTGTACCCAATTTCCACTACCTGAGTTTTCCAAAGAAAATTAGATTACTATAAAATGCAGGTCAGAACTTCTGGTGGTAAGAGTTCTTATCAGCATTGCAATATAAATTATGCTCAAACAGTGATTCTCCTTTCTATAGAATAACACTAAAGCCGAGGAAAATATTTCAGACCTTTAGAAAGGCACAATGCAGTAGAGAATGTCTCTCATATTCTTCTCTGGGTGTCCATGGTATTACATTACAGCAGTACCATGAACAAACTTCAATTTCCTAATTCAGATTTTATAATTACTCTTTCAGGAAAGCCTTCCAATTTAGTAAAAAGTTATCACGATGGACAGGCCACAGCATTAATGTTCAAAGGAGGTACGGGGGAGGAACAGGGTGTTTATGTAGAGAAGCAAAAAGGGAAATTCCATCCACAATCTTGTGTCTCAGAATCCATGGATCTGAGATAGGAGGGCAAAAAATAATCACACAGGACCTTTGGGCCAAGAAAAATGCAACTTTAAAGGACCTATGCTTTCCTTCAGTGATATTATAGCAACTCAATAGGAACAATACCCAACTATTTTGCCTGCATAAGGAATTATATCATGAGCTTGAAAAGATGCATTTTGCATAGATTTTTTAAAATATAAATAACCGTTTTGGTCTTAAATATTTATTATCTTCTGAAGTCATTTCATCAACATTTTTAAAGGATGGTTTGAAATATAATTCCTTTGGGTTACTCCTTTATGATATAAGACCATATCCAAGCGTTCTTCAGTTTGAAAACATGTTCTTCAGAATTTATTGGAACCCACACCACTTTATGTACAGTAAAAATTAGTGAAATAACACACTAAAAAAAAAGAAACTGTCCTGTTAACCATCATTTATTAAATACAGTGATATTCTGAAGGGCTGCCATTTCAGTTTTCAGTAGGGTAGCAAATAGTAGAATGGGAACAATATTTCTCATAAGTTAAAAGACTTTATCCATAATATATTTGAGTTTAAATAGCAATGAAATAATGAGTGCATTTACAAGTATTTGTTGTGGTCTGTTATTTTGTACCTCACAATAACCAAAAATATAGGCCCTCCTTAGGAATCACGTGTGGACTGAACAAGTACCTCTCCCTGTCTAAATGGTGCACCTCATATACAGCTAGAAGAATTTGAACTTTAAATTTATGTAATTCTAGCTAAAGACAAATGTAAGCAAATAACAACAAACCTTGACATTTAGCTCACTGCTTGAATTAATTGTGCCCCAAGGTTAACCCTCTGGTACAATGATCCATAAAAAACCCCATCAAACTAAACACCCTCAGTCAATCTATTCAATTAAGTAATGGCCCAAAGTATCCACAGCTACGTGTGCACACATGCACACACACACAAACCCCTGAGGAGACTTTCAGAGTTTTTGCTGCTGTGAAATAATATCTGCCTATGGTATACTCAACGAGCATGTTCTTACCTTCTGTGAGAATTCCTGTTGCTATTTACGTGGCCCCGGCCTGTGCAGCCTGGTGTAGGACACTTAAGAACGTTTTCATGCATGGCAAGAACTTGACAGGGAGAAGGAAAGGAAACAGCAGAGTGTGGAAACAACAACAAGAAGAAAGAGATTTCAAGTCCCAGTTCGTAAGAAGCCATTTTAGTACAAAGCAAGATTCATTAATGACCAGCATTCCTGAAAATAGACATGTGACAGATATAGCCAATAAAGCCTGGTGAAGGAAAGAGGTGCTGTGGTACTATACTCATTAAACACAGGATGATGTTAATACATTAAGAGTTATGGAGGGCAAGGAATCTAACAATTAATGTGTCTCTGGTGTGACAGTGAAGCAGGAGGCTGCGTAAGCACTGAGCAAAAATACTGAACAGCAGCACAGGGTTGGGGTTTAGAAGCATTTTTTTAAAAGGCGCATATATGCAGGAATAGATTGATTCATGTACACATTATAAGGCATACAGCATCTGGAGTCAGTACAGCATAAAATATATGTGAATTCTGAAGAATTGAATTCACCTTCAGTGTAGTCAATGGAGGACATAGGAGAGATTTGAAACCCAGTCATGGAACTCAATTCTAGGGCCCAGCAACTGCCTGAGTTATGCAGGACTAAAGCTGTTTAAAGTTCAGTGGCAGTTACATTCATATTGTGAACAGTTATTCTTTTTGTTTAAAAAAATTCTGCAGCCCTTAATAAATCATAATGGGTCCAAAACTAAAATAAATAGAAACAAAGAATATGAGCACGTTTTAAAGTCAAGAGGTTGGTGGAGTGATAAATTATGACTATAAGGAGCCAATAGGTTTGGTTTAAGCAACACAGTTGTCACAATACACCACCAAGCAAGCCTTGGGGAAGGGTTGCCACTCAGCGCTAGAGGGAATACTTTGTATGTTATATCCCCAACATTTCCAGATAATGGATTTAAAATATCAAGGATCCTACAGATCTCTGTTGGGGACCTGGCTTCAAGTTGCCATAACAATACAGGACTTAGAGGGATTCCTGGACTGACTCAATATAAGGCAAAGCCTTATAATTCATTCAGATTACAATCTTTCTGCCATTATAGGCTAAACTATTAATGTTTTTCTTTTTTCACCGTGTACAGAAAAAGAAGGCTATAACCAATTTATGTGCGTGTGTATGACATGAAAAAAAATGAATCCATGTCACCAGTGCACAGAATTATGCTTCATTTCAAAAGGAACCAATCGTATTTAATGGAATCATATTTAATGCTTACTTAAAAGCCAAAGACATCAGGAATAGAACCTATACATATTGATTCACAACCACCATCATTCATCACCATCACCACACCACTAGCAGTGTACTAAAGATGTGAAAGCTTCACTTTGGAATTCCTGCTATTCAAAGCTGTTCTTGAAACATGCTTTACAAGCCCAGCACTGCAGGAGTCAGGAAAAAAAAAGAGAGAGAGAGAAAGAAATGAGCTCACCTTTTTCACTTTTGTCACTACTGAACATGCAAACCGTTTAAAGCTATATTCTTCTTTGATCGGTAACATTTCCTGAATGCTCTCTGTTTACCATTTACGGGGAGGGAGGGAGCTCAGCCCGCTTTGAGCAACTGAGTAAACACTAGCGTTTGAGAAAATTATAGGCCTTGCTAAACTGGAAATTGAATTCCTTTGATCAACTAAATTCACTCACCAGCTGAGAAGCGGTGTGTTTCTTTAAAGGGATTTTCCCCTCCATGATCTTTATTCTAAAAAGGAAGACTATGCTGTTGCAAAAGGATGCTACTTCGTGGCTGAGGCTATACTTCTTACTCCAGATTAACAGTGGCATCCTAGGCAGAGATGCATCCCTCTAAGCCCACTGACTTCGAAAAGAAGGATGTAACTCTGTTAGGATGGCACTATGATATAGGAGTCATACTGAGGGGTTCTCATGGCCCCTCTCTATACCTATTTACTATATTCTGTCCGTTGCAGGGAACCATTTGCTTAAGAGCCACTTCACTGGCTGTTGGAGCACAATGGAATTCCTCAAGGGACAGCAAAGGAAAGAATGTTTACTCCCTTTGCTGTAAGTATAAAAATACCCTGACATATTTACCTCCTTTATGTGATTTATGAAATTGGTTTCCTTATAAATTATGACACTTGATAGAGGTAAGGGAATTTACAACATGATGTCACTGCATCATGTGGTGAGTAGTCCTAGCTATTAAAGCAAGGTACAAGAGAACTACAGTGCAATCCTAAGCAAAGTTACACCATTTTAAGTCCATGGAAATCAATAGTCTTAGAAGACTGTCACTGTGCTTCAGCGGGACAAAAATGGAGGTTAGAAACCATAAAGATCTGGGGAATTCCTAGAGAGTTGTGATGTCACTTCTGGTGTACAACCAAAAGTGCTGTTATGGCATTGCTTCCCACTCCCCACTTTTGCTCCCATTGGAGTGAAAAGCAGGAGAGGGAAATTGCCATCTGGTAAGCCTAGATGGTACTGATAGCTACAAGACATGATGCATTTGGTAGCATCCCCATGATAAGTGTGTTCCAGCTCTTAGAAACAATTCATGCAGCAATTTTTGATCTGTTATACTACTATAATGCCCTACACAGATCCAGAGTATTTACAGATTTAGCATGGATGATTCCTTAAAATGTAAGTTATTTTTGTGGCAGCTGTTTCTTAACATATTTTGTCTTCTTTATCCCCATCACACAACTGCAGCATTTTTGCATGAACATCCATACAAAGAAAGTTGTATCTATAGAGGTAATTTTTTTTTAATTAAGCCCTCAATGTGATGTTAATATTTTAAAGTATTTTAAAAATGAATTAAACTGCACATTTTTTTTCAAATTCAAAAGAACAGTTGCTCCTATATTTGAACAATAGAGACCCTCTTCAAGAGGTGATCATAATAATTTATTCAGGATTAAGATCACTACTATTTTGCTTGGGGGGGGAAACTTTTACAGGCAGAATGCAACTGTTTGTCAATATCCTAACACTATCAGAATCAAAGAATACAGCTTTAAAACATCTTCCTTCAAGCATAAAGGTTAGTATAGATGTGAAAATGATGAAATAAAAATGAAAATATAACAGAAAACAAGTTGCTAAATTGAGACATCATACTGGAAAAATGGGAGGAAAAAAGAAAAAAGCTTCTTAATGCATGCTAGAAAAATTTGTGTGGAGTTTTATCCTCCATTTCCATGAAACATTGTGGACTTACTTTCTGGAGGGACCCTATCTTTGTGTGGGCATCCTGACAAACTGCGGTGATGGGGGTAAAGCCCCGTTACATGGCCAGTTCCATCACACCCAGGGGTAGGACATTTGCTCTCTTTCTTTTCTGTTCTTGAGGGATCTATAATTTACAACAAATGTGTCAAGTGAATGATGTTCTTCAGATTTCCAAATGGACGAAGGTTCATTTAATGAAATCAATTACTCTTTGGAAAATGTTCTTGAAGAACACTGGAAAAAACACATCTGCTACTCCTTAAACATTTTAATTTTCTGCTTCCTTCTTCCATACCAGAGGCTCCTCTGATCACAGCTGTCCCCATTCACAGATGATAGTGGAAAGTGACTTTCCTATAGCAAAGCCACATCACTATCAATGAATATATTTCTGTCAGTCATCAACTATAGGATGGTGTTATGTCACTTGAGATCTGCTTGGCTTTGTTTTCACCTTTTTTGATGCTATTTTTATCATATTTAGAAGTCTACAGATGCTATACGGAAAATTCAGAGTCCTGAAGACAGCAAACCCAGCTCCTCAACTTGTTCAAAGATTCACTGCAAATTATTTTTTCCCAATGGCATTCTAAAATTGGCATGTTATTTTCACATAAGTGTGATAGGAAATATTAGAACATACATAGAAGTACATTTCTTTCCAAGGAAGGACATACGTTTTTTAGAAAAGCTCCTATTTGCCTTTTGTTTGGCCCTTGATAATCATATATGTGCTATGCTTGAATATTGATAATTCAAAGGGAAAGTATCTTTAATTCTGCAGTTTTCTTTTCATCAATGCCTAAGAAAATGTTTTTCTTATCTAACAAATGTATTCTGCCAAAAAAAGTAATGAGATTAATGCAGACATTTCTCCTGAATTAGAACTGTAATTTTATACACCGTTCTCTAGGAGGAGTTTTGATAAAGAAATATCCCTAATCTTCCTGTTTACACAATCAGTTATCCTGGGATAACAACCTCAGAGCTAAATTCAACCTCTGACTTATATACACATTCAAAGAAGAAATTTAGTAGGAGAGTAATAGTTCAGAAAAATTCGAAAGGGAGGGTGATCATGATAAGATCATGATAAGAAACTGCTCTTTTTACTGCCACCCTATGTTCCTTGCTGATTCTGTTCCTCTAACTACCCCTCAGCCTCCTGCTCCACATCACTAGCAATGAGAGACTTTGGTGCAGTGTTGCTTTAGCTGAAAGTTTGCTGTGTGTTGGAAAAGAACTTGATTTTAACTAAGATGAACCTAAGAGGCATGTGAGGAACTGGGAATGAGAGATGGGAAAGCACAGCAAGAGTAGCAGGGGGGAGACTTTTGGCCCTCACAAAGAAAAGTTCATGCTCACTCGTCATTTTTCTTCTCCGGAAATTATTGAATGGGGTGAGAGCAAGAGCCACTACATATTAAAGGAGAGGAGATTCCAGCCATCCCAATTAAGGAAGAGATGTGATCCCTGTCCTGTAGTTTTACCTTGTGAACCAAAGGATATGAAAGAGTCAATTACACTTAGGAAGAATATGGGCCCATAGTTTAACTCTCCTTATTCCCCAGATAAATGATTGTGTAAACAATATTAGGATTAAAACCTCAGGGCAATTTCACAAATTGAGTAGCAGCAAAGCCAGGTGTGCTACAAGCTGAACACTCTTGACATCTCCCTGATGAGCGTCTCTCTTCAGCTATTTGTTCCATTCACACTTTACAAGTAATGCATGAAATAGCACTCAGGTGGATAGAATTCAGAGAAACACAATCACCTTTGAATAGTTGGTGAGGTTATCCTCTCAGGGTAAAGCAACAAACTAGGAATCTTTATTGTCTAAAGAAGCCCCCAACTCAGCATTTCATCATGCATATCATCCTTTACACTGTTGCAAAGTTTTGAATATCAGAACTAGTTTATATCCAAAGTTCTAGTGAAATACATGCAAATATAGATCATAAGATTCTGTCTCTTATAAAATTAAAGTCAACCAACCTCAAGCATTCACATTCTAGAATTTATCCTTATTGCAGCAGTAAAAAAAATTGTCTATCAGCACTATGCATTTGAATCTGATCTTGGCATTCTTTTGCTCCAGGACTGCATTGATTCCTTTCAGGACAAGATTTTTGTTATTTCATTGTTTCTTACATCATCCGTCTTAATTCAACTGGTTTATTTATTTGACAGCTCAAAGCTTGGAGAAATGTATGGCACTTGTCTTTTAGTAGGAAAAACACAGATAAAACCAAGGTCTTACATTCCATTACAGGGGTTTCATAGTTTCATAATTGTATTTAAAAATAGGTTTTGCTAACATATTTCTCAATAATGATATGTTTATAATCAAACTGATTCACAGCTCACAAGAATACATAGAAAGCCCTTTACATTTGAAGATAGATCAAATACTCTGTCCTGCCAGTTGGCTGGTAACAATAAGAGGAATATGCACAATTCGTTTGTTATGTTGTTCAATGAGAATTTATGGCATACTGCAGAATCCACACTTCATATGGCTTTGTCACCATTAAATAAAAGCCACTCATATGCTTAAAGTGGCCACCATGCACTCAAGGACATGTGTATTTGTGAACTACCAAGTTCATGTAAGGAGTCCTACCAATAGCTCTTTAAATATCCTGATTTTGCTGCCCAGTTAGAACAGCAAAACAAAGAACTGGATGACAGGGATCTAGCAGACTTCATTACATAGTTGTGGGCTACATTTGGTTTGGTGGGCCACAAGGTGTACAGACATTCTCTAGGTAAAACTGCATATATCTTAGCCTGATGACCCCTAAAACCGTTTATATCCAGTTTTAAAACTGGATAAGGACAGGGCTTCTGCATAATAGGCACACATGCTATCACATGTGCTACTGTGTCTTGTACTAGATAAGGATAATAGTGATTTTAGCTTATAAAGCAATGCAAATACTTAAACGCTATGTGTAGGTGACAATAGCTCTTTTGAGCTGACATTCTGTATAAAATTAATGAATGTTGCTGAGGGAAACAGGATCACAGCGACAGGCAGCACTGCAACTTACATGCATTAATCTGAAGCTCTGCAAAAAGCTTACATGCATTCAACTACAATAACGTAGTGGCTTCTAAAGCAGTCAGGAACTCTGAAAAAGCAGGCTTCCTGATATTTACTTTATTGATAGACCTCATTTATACCCTGCTTTTCTCCCCAATGGGGATCCAAAGCGGCTTACACTGTTCTTTTTTCTATTTTTATCCTTACAGCAACCCTGTGAGGCAGAATACACTGAGAGTGTGTGACTGCCTCAAGGTCACCTAACAAACTTCCTTGGCAGAGTGGGGATTTGAAACTGGGTCTCCCAGATCCTAGTCTAACACTCTAATCATTACACCCCACTAGCTCTCCGGCTGATATGTTGCATGCAGAGCTTCCAATAAACACATATAGGTTGGGGGCAGGGACCGTCGGCATGATTTGTTCCTTGTCACAATGACACATTCATTGGAGGGGCTCAAATGTCATCTGAACAGGTCTTCATATCTATATACTTCAAGATGAGGCACAGCATTAAACTCAAGACCACAAGGGGGGGGAAAATCAGTGTTGGAGCTGAGAAAAGAATGGCTGCCTCTATGCCTCTGATGCCTTTTTTGCAGAAAGGACTCTGAAATATTACTTGTTGAAGAAATATCATTAGAAGTGGGCTTTTATACCCTGCTTTTCTCTACCCTAAGGAGTCCCAGAGCGGCTTACAATTGCCTTCCCTTCCTCTACCCAAGGCCACCCAGCAGGCTTCATGTGGAGGAGTGGGGAATCAAACCCTGTTCTCCCGATTAGAGTCCAACGCTCTTAACCACTACACCACGCTGGCTCTTTATTAGCACTGTGTTTTGTTAGTGCTATTTCATACAACACTATTCAAGGGCAACTAGATACAAGTAGTTAACCCAACAGAATATTGATCTTTGTATTGCCATTAAAACAGATAACATAGATGGCAAAGAGTTACTGCTAGCTGAACAGCTGAAACATGCATATCCACGTCTGCCTGTTTACTTCAACATTTGAATAGTATTGCATACCGGCAACAAAAAAATAAGGTAGGCTAAGGTACTCAGACATGCAGGTCAGAATCTTTCATTTCCACAAGACTATACAAATAGCTTGATCTAGTTTTGTTGAAAAATATTGAAAGTGGGTTTCATATTGACACTTAGATATTCAGTTTAACATTATGAATGTCTATAACCATTTTCTACTACAGGGAATAAAGGGGTTCCCTTCTTAGCCAGTGACTCTGCCATTGTTACCACAACTAATGTAATAGGCAGCGGGTGGGGGGGGGATCCAAAGCCTGTCTAACATGAAATAAGCATATATATCAGTAAAGAGAAAGGATGGCCTCTCTCTTTGCATTTAGGGACTCACTACAGTAAGTCTTGAAAACAGAAGAGAAAAAGGAATTATTGTGCATTCCTTTTGATGCTCCTACTTCCCTAGATTAAAGCATGAGTATCTTCCCAGAGATGTGTACCAGTCACCACCTCAGAGAGCCTTGCTGACATTTTTGGGAGAATCATATATACTTGATGATGAGTGATATAAAAACTACACACCTTTCATTCATTCTCTTTTAAAATATCTCTTTCAGAGTACAGAAGATATATTATTTCCTCCCCGCTTGTTCTGTTAAAATGAAGAAGAGTTTTGGGGCCCAAAGTTTCAGATTAAATCTGCCAGACTTTTCCAGCTTCAGACCCAAGTGCCATTTGTGGCTCCTCCCATCTTCAGATTTCATTCTCACTTGCAAGCTTCAAGGCCCAGTGACATACGGAGCCTTTTTGCTGAGCAAGCAATCTGTATTACAACCTTTAAAGGCTTAAAGCTGTCAGAATTGAGTTTAGTTAAAGGTATTTATTTATACAATATCTCCATTATATATATAAAACTTAGCAAAAATATGCACATGGCAAACTGTGGGTTTTTATCTCTTCAAACAATTTCACGGCTAGTTCACATAATACTTTATAATCTATTTTTTATCATTTGTGATCCTGAATAACATACATTCTACTGTTTTTAGTCTGTATATACACAGTATCCCCTTTTGTGTGTGTGCATGTGTGTATGTAAATATGACCATAAATAAACACGGATAAACAATGTGCACAAGGCAAAAAGAAATTGATAGGATTCAGACAGTCATGACAGTCATACAAAATGTTGCTGGTCACGTTCATGGTTCCTCTGTTCACATATTAGGTTTGTCCATGCACCCAAGAATGTTTGTATATACAGAGAATGTACTGTGTAAACTGGGTCCATACCATTCACTCACATAATGATATACAGTACTATGGAACATGGGGTTTGTTGATGTTTGTGTAATTTATGTGGAATATTTTGGCCTTTTCCTTGGTCTTATCAACTTTGCTTAAGAAATACAGGAAAATGTTTTTAATCTCACAACTAACCTTTATATCCCTAGAAAGGAGCAAGAGTCTAGTAGCATTTTAAAGACTAACAAAATTTGTGGCAGGGTGCCACTGGACTCAAACTTTGTTCTTCAGATACAGTCATTCTAGCTGTATCTGAAGAAGTGAGCAGTGAGTCTCACAAAAGCTCATACTCTGCCAGAAATTTTATTAGTTTTTAAGGTGCTACTGGACTCTTGCTCTTTTCTACTGCTACAGATAGACTAACACAGCTACTCATCATGATCTTTATATCCCTGTTAATCAAGTTTGTGATATAAAAACAGAGCACACTCATTTAATGTAGTGATGTTATGAGAAACCATAGCATCATCCATAACTACCTACATTGTTCACTTCCTAATAGAGATCCCCCAGCTTGTATTAAGGCTAACTGAAATGAACAGTATTCAGCAACTATTAGGATAGTAAACACTTTACAAGAGTGTCAGTTCATAAAAATAGCATGTTTATATTTACATGCAATACACCTATACATCTACATAAAACATTATTAAACATTATTAAGGTAATTCTCTATGTTTCATTCTTTCTTGTAAATTGGTTCACTGCTAAGGAAGCACTGTAAATATTTCTACAAAGGAATGAAACCACTGAAGTGGAATGCTTATAAGAAAGAAATTGCTATTGATCTCAGCCCAGGCCAAAGCATGCCTTGCATAGCAAATGACTTCCATTACCTTACTATTTAAGATAATTAATGTGCAGTCATTGCCCCTATCTTATGTTATCGGTCATTCAGATACTGTTCAATTTCTATCAGCCAACTCTACATTTTATAAGGGGCAGGGTTCATCAATAATCATCATTTTGGTAATAATTTTATAAATCAGGATGCCACCCACACCATCTAGTCTGTAAAATATGCATTTCCTTGGAGTCTGGCTAAGTGTCCTCCACAAAGTTCCACCATTTAAATCAATTCATGCAAGATGCATTTCCCTTCAGTATTCAATCATAACTTGGACAAAAAAAACATTTTTAGCATTTCAGGATAATCTTTGTGCCTTTCTATATGATCTCTTATTTGCTTTGTTCTCCTGAAATGATAATCTTTTCTACATGAAAACAAACCACATTCTTTTAAATAGTCTAATGTTTTGAAATGTTACAAACAGGCTGTTTTTATTTCACAAAATATAATTATATGCATGATTTGTTAACACAATACATCATACATTAGATAGAAATATTACCTTTACCATAATATGGCTTTTTGATATGGCCGTCACTGGATTTAGATTTCCTGTCATCTCCAGAAATCTGTCTTGGAGACTGTTCCTCATAGGATCTCATATTATCCCTCCTTCCAGCTTCCATTGCCATTTTTTCCCTCATGGCTTTTGCTCTTTCTGTTTCTAAAGCAATAGCTTTTTCAAGTAGCGTTAAGTTTCCTTTTGTCATATCAAACACCTCTTCAGACCTATCTGAAGTAATAGAGGTGGTGTCATCATCTCTTTCATGACACCCATCCTCTTTTGCACAGCTAGAAAAAGTTCTAGATCTGGGACTCAACTGTTCTTCAAGCCTCATTAAGTTCATCATATCAGAATAGTTCCGATCAGGTGTCCGTCCTTGAAAATCATCTTCTTGCCGAGCGTGTTGGCGAGAATTCAGGTTCTGCTGTTGATTTCTTTCTTGTGGATTTGTCTCACTGAGCTTCCTGGCCAAATCAAAACATTGATTCCTCAGGCATTCCAAGCTACTGAGACATACCTCTTCATCACTTTCTTCCACCATTTTTTCTGTAAGCCCATTGTTTGTAGGCTTCCCTAGCATCCCATAGTTCATATTCCTGTTTTCTTGCTGCGACATACTGTCTGCATAATTTCTGTCGTTAACGTTTTCTGAAAGCACTACACCATGTCCTTGTGCTAACAATTTGAGCGAGTCCACAGTTTCCCTAACAACGTCACTGTCTAAATCTAAACTCAGCTCACTCTTACGACCAACATTTTCATTTTTGTCACTATCATCTTCCAGGCTATTAGATGTATTGCTATTCATTTCTGATTCAGTCCTGGCTCTGTATGCTGCATCCTCTGCAATTTTGCCAAGATTTAACAATGACTTGGCCACCAGTTCATCATAATTATCATACTCATCATTATTGTTATCGTCTTTTTCTGTGTCTTGCATTCGAGCATTGTGACAATTCATTTGATGGTCTTCTGCATTAAAAAAAAGGAACAAAGAAAGAGAAACGGAAAAAGAAAAGAAAAAAAGTAGCTAGAATTGGAACTGTTGTTGCACTAATATGGACAGAACTCAAACTGCCTGCCCATTCTTTTTAGCATACAGTACTTTGAAAAACTAAATAAACCCATGTTAATTTAAATTTAAACTCTGGAATTAAGAAAATGGATTGTTGTTCTTGAGGATATAAGGCCATTTCTATACCTTGGTTACAGACCATTAACTTCCTTTGCTAATCTCATAATGATTAGTAACAATTAAGAAAACCAACACTTCCCTATAAATGTATTATTTGACATAATTTGTAAATTCTTATACTTCATGGTTATCTTTTGTATTTATTGCTTTAGAGTAATTCCATGATTCATGGCATTTTATTTGTGTAAATTCTTTGAGTAGCTCAAGTCCTCTAGTTCAGGGGTGGCCAAACTTGCTTAACATAAGAGTCACACAGAATAAACATCAGATGTTTGAGAGTCACAAGACATGAACAAATATTACACACACATTTTATTGAAAAATATGCAAATTTGCTTTTTATTAACGTTAAATGAGACTACCAAAAATAAAAACGAAAGGGGTAAAAATAGATCTTGATAATGATATTTATTTGTCCAATGATATTTATTTGTTTGCTAATTATATTTATTTGCCTAAGAGAGAAAGAGGGAGAGAGAGAGAGGTGGAAAGAAAGGGAGAAAGGGGGGAAGGAAAGAAAGTAAACAATTGGGAGGGGAGAAGAAAAGGAGAGGTGGGAAGAATGCAGCATTAACTTTAAATGTGTTCTCCAACCCCCTCCCCCACACCAGCTGGCTTGGCTTGGAGAAGGGATTTAAAGAGACAAATGCCTTCTCCAAGCCAGCTGGTTTGGGGAGGGGGCTTTGAAAACACATTTAAAGTTAAAAGTTGCTTTCTTTCTCTGCCCCCCCCCCTCAGCTCAAGCCTACCCAGGGAAGGGAACACTGGCTGGGGAAGGGAAGACCGATCAAGGAGGCATGCCTCCCCTTCACTTCCCCAGCTGCCCTGCCGGGAGCTGCACAATATGTGTGAAAGAGCCACATGTTGCTCCCGAGCTGCAGTTTGGCCACCCCTGCACTAGTTCTAACACAGAACAGAAGTTAGGGGAAGGAAATGGTTTTTTATATATAGACACATCAGAAAGGTTATTCATATAAGCAGTGATTATATCAAATCCATGCAAACATATTCTCCCTGGGGGCATGCAAATATGGAAAAGACATGATGTTTCATGTAATCAGATCTGGATATTGATGATCTAATGCATATTTCAATACATATTGTTAAATGACAAGCATGTGAAGACATACACATGTGTTTTAATTAAGCATTTTAACTGTATGTCCAGGTAGAAAAAGTAACTATACACTGAACATCAGCTTGAGGTAATGTTTTACACTCGGGTAATGGGCAGTAACCAATATTTAGCAAATACTATCCTATACACAGACGAGGACAGTACTAGCTAAATATTGGCAAGTGCCCATTGCCCAAATGTACAGCATTACCTCAAGGTGATGTCTGGCTGATATTCCTATGCCTATAACGACTGTACAACAGACAAGTTTATTCTGTCATCCCAAACAGAAGCACTAAAAAAAAACTTGTGGTAACATAACAACAAACCTTTGTCACATGTTTTAAAACATACCAAGCCATCTCCTTTAGTAATAATCATAATCTGAAATATATGTTTTGCCCTCTGTTTTACAGAGGACATATATATATATAAAAGTCATTTCTCAGCATTAGATTACGTGCTATGGTCTCCAAGAAGCAAAGCCTAGGATGGACTATCCTAATAAGAACAAGCATGATCCTCAATGGCCAGATCACAAGGATACAATGAGAACGCCAGTCCCTTCCCCCACAAGCACATTATGCTGTCAGGTGCATCCCTGAATATTTTCCACTATGTGACTGCGATTATAATGGCTACAGTGGAAAATAAAACAAAGAAGTAGTAGTAGTAGTAGTAGTAGTAGTAGTAGTAGTTGGATTTATACCCCGCCCTTAATTTAGAGTCTCAGAGGAGCTTACAATCACCTTCCCTTCCTCTCCCCACAACAGACAACTTGTAGGTGGGGCTGAGAGAGTTCTGAGAGAACTGCTCTTGAGAGAACAGCTCTGAGAGAACTGTGACTGATCCAAGGTCACCTAGCTGGCTGCATGTGGAGGAGTGGGGAATCAAACCTGGTTCTCCAGATTAGAGTCTGCCACTCTTAACCACAACATCAAACTGACTCTCACTGTTGCAGTGAGGCCAATATCTGCTTTCTACTCCTGACAAAGGTCTAGTTCTCATCGTCTGGGACCCAATGGGTACATGACACACTTGAAATATTCCAGTCCTAATTCCACATATGTGCCATGATGTAGTTTAGGTTTAGCAAGGAAATCCCCAACTGGACCAGCTTTTCAACTGCTCTAAATCAATAAATGTATGTTGATTTCTACTAGTAGAAACTTCTAGTCAATCAGTTTAGCTGTAAGGATGGAAATTGTTCCTCGGTGATTGAATATGTAGTCTAAAATTTTCACATATGATACACTTGAGTTTGGGGCTAAAAATGAGAAGATGGGATGGGAGAGACAGATGGCAACAGAATGAGAATATGGAAGAAAGAATAATGGAAAATTTCAGGTATCTTACAGTGCGATATAGTAGCTTTTGCTTACATACAGGTTTTACTGATTAGTATTTCTATGCTGTTTGCAGTCTGATATGTTGGAATAAACATTTGCACAGGGTGTCCTAAAGGCTATATAATATGAAAAGCAGAACACTCTAATGAATTACTTGCTAAAATATCTTAGAAGTAGGCTTTGAACTACTGAACATAATTAAATCCTGCTAATATCAGAATAAAAAAGAAAATACTGTATACTCCTTCAGACATTTCCTCTTACTACTGTGTCAGAGGCTGAAGAAAAGATATAGGGAGAGATATATAGGAAGAGCTGCAGAAACAATTACAGGCTTGTGAGCGAATACAAAATGAAAATTTCAAAAGCTAAACTAATGTCAGTTCAACTCAGTGAATCCACATGTGGAAATGGACTTCTGTATTCAGACAAGTTTTTTGTGAGTGTGGGATTTTGACCGGTGAATCCAGGCCCCAGATATGTCAGTTGTCTTTACTCTGACAGCACTGATCATTTGTCGGGCAGAGGAGGAAACAGACTCCACCTTCAAACAAAGAGGTTGCCAGTATCATCTTTATATCCAGTGATTCAGTATTGGGCAGTTAAGGCTCCTATAAAATATGCTTCCTAAGATATCATCAGTACTATCTATTATGTTTTCATCTCCTCTTATGCATAGTTCTCTTCCACTGTAGCCTAACATCAAGTGAGGGAGGTTAAGTTAGGCTAGGCGGTGTGTGTATACAACTGGTGCATGGTCACTCAGGGAACTTCTAGTTCACAAAAAGTGGTCAGCACTGTCTGCTTAGACAGCATTAATTGTATCTATGGTGGTCGAGGCATTCAGCACAACCAAATTAGCATGCATCCAGCCTGGATTACAGCTCATGTCTAGAGCTAGCTTGGTACTAGAAATCTTTACATAAAGACATACATTTTCATTCATGCACATCAAAATAGTCATTTATGACAATGAATGCTCTATACAGCCTTTGGACTCTGTGATTTGAGAAACATATTTAAAAATGAAGCTGATGTAAAATGAGAAGAATATCTGACACTTTCCCTGCATGGCTGTGGAAAAAAACCCTCAGCCTAAAATATGAGACACGTACTGTATGAGTGGAAACACGTAAACTCCTTTTTGAGATTTGGTGATGCTGGGTGAAAGCTGTAACTATAATATTATTTTCTCTTTTTGTTTGGTTCTATCCATTTCATCTCTTTTGTCCTTTCAACCCTAAAGAGGAGGAAAAACAGTGGTGGAGAAGAAAAAGTGTGAACTGTAAATGTTAAGGGGGGAAGCGAGGAATAAATTATTTGAATTCAAGCTTCACTTCTCCTCTTGATATTTCCTCTCTACCTAGCTTCCTTTTCAAAAAGTACAACCATAAAAATATTTATCTATACCAATATTTATTTATAAAAAATACTTATTTTTTCTTAAGTCTCCCCAGCTTTCTTACCAAAGAATTATCAGAATCAGGACTGTACAAGATAGAGTACCTCCAAGAAAGTACCCTGCATGCTTCAACCATGATGTTGTAATTTCTATCACATCACAATCTTTTACATATTTCATTAATCACAATGGCCACAGATATCATTTTAAATTTTTCTTCAAGGATCCATGCAAAGTGATGCAAGGAGCTTTACTTGTTGGAAAGAAAGGCAGGCAACAACTGTGTGCAAAGAAGCCAAGGATTAGCTGTTAATTGCCAGGGTTCTGAAAGGATGCTGAGATTCAGCTCTGCCAATATCACACTTTGTTTGCTGAGACATGGAGATTTTCTTTTCATTAATGGATTTTTGGCTGCTGGGAAACCAATGTTTGCAACGTTAAGAATTAGGACGGAAAAATGACTTTTCTATCTGTAAATATGTAATAAATGATTGACATATTAACAGATTTCAAAAACATTACAATAGATATATTCTTTTTGTTGTCTATCACAGAATCAGCACCATAGTCCTTTTTGAGAGAAATATCAGGAATACCATATGCTATTTTTAGAGGGAATTCCCTACTAACTGTACCATATTTTGTCACAGTCTAATGGATTTATGCAATCTTCCTTTTGCAAATGTTATTTGGTGTTTACTGGCTGCCAGATTAATTATATAGGTCAATGGTATCTATGATAAATATTCACAACACTCCTCCCCCCCATCATATTTAAAAACAGAATAATATTCTGGAAAACTTTCCAACTATATTGTAGAAGCTCCAACCTACCTTATTGCATGCACCAAATCAACAACAGAATGAGATCTACAATGCCTATTAACATCTATGGTATCAACTTCAAAG